TGGAGACAGTAGAAACAATGTATTTCTCTTATTTAACTAGCTGTCAATGAACGTTCTAAACGCTGTCAATGAACATTCCAAAAGACGTCAGTCCTACTAGCAGCCCGTTTCCAGGGTCAGCGTGGCAGTGTTTTAAGTCTCTTCGCTCTCTCCCGCAGGCATACTCAATCCGCAACTTCCCCCTCTCTTCTCCTGCCTCCAAGAGGGGGTTTAATGTTCTTTACCGTTGGAAATTTGATCTTTTACAAAAGACTTTCCAGGACTCCAGCTTGCAACTTCATTGCCTCAGTCTATTTACAAAAGGGGAAGGCGGACTTCCTGTTTTGAACCTCCCCGTTACGGTACCAAATTAAACATTTAGAAATCCAATTCTTCCGCTTCAGCTCTACTCACGGGTAATTACTTTAAAGTCAAATTGTCCACAGGAAAAGGTCAGCACTCTCCAGCAACAGCTACGCGGCTTCGCTCCGTGGAAGAAGCAGACGATTCGATGCACCGTGCCGCTCACCCCACGTCGCTCTGGAGCCCCAAAAACCGGGGTTCCCTGCGAGTGGGGGAGGCGCAAAAGGTGCCCGCCGAATCCCACGCTCACAGGCTTCTCCCGCTGTGATTTTAACGGGTCTCTGCCTTCGCCGTGGCGGCCAGACCCAGATTTCCACGGCGCAGATTCCTCCCGGTCAGAGGAATTCTGCCATTACCGGAGGCGCCTCCCCCAAAAGTCATGCATCCATGGAAATCAATAAGATCGTTCCTATACAAAGTGGCATTAAAACCTGCTGAAGTGCCCGAGAAAAGCAAGTTGCCTTCCTTTGCAAAACAGTACTGTAGAATGTTAAAACATGAACATCAAAATGTAAGGTGCTCTACCATTAGAGTAAAAGGACTCATGTATTTGCCACTGAAGGACCTCATTGTTCTGAAGCTGAGCATAGCCACAATTCAGCCAAAGTTAAGCATTTTTGAACTCTCGAACTTCAGACATCCAGACTGAGCATTTGCTTAACTTTACTGTTGACCTCTTTTGGACTAGAGCACTTAAGTTTTCCCGAATCAGTGCCTTAAACTAGAGATACTTTCATCCACCATGCCCCAAAGTTTCAGGATGAGGAGCAATAGTTTTGAAAAGCTGACGTTCAATTGAACTCCAACCATCTAGAATTGAAAACCTGGTAGTTTATGTGATGTCCAGTTTGCAAAATATGCAGGTTTGTTGTTTTGATAAATTGTTTTATGTCTCTTTTGGGGGAGACACAAAACAGGAGCGAATCAAGAGCATACAACTAGGGTTGTGGAGTCCAAGTGGTGCAAAAGTGCCTTGCCACCCCAGCAGAGCAAAACTATTTTTAAAAAAGGGGGGGGGGGAGAGAGAAATGGATGTCATTCAATGAAACTTAAAAATATATGTCTGTGGAATTTTTTAGAATGTGGATTTCAATGTGGTTCTGGTAATTTTTGTGAAGGCACCCAGTTCCGATGTGTACATCAATGTAGCAATATATGAGAACGATGGGAGGCAAAATAATAGTTCAGAAGACTGCAGCTAAGACTGACATTATAATTAATCTAGACAATAAAAAAAATTGGCAAGCAAGTTATCTTTAACTTCCCCCTTCTAATTTATTCTGACTGGCCTATCTAGCATTATTCCAAAGAGACTCACAAATTATAATCATATTAATTAAACCAAACAAATTAAATGTGGCCTACTTCTAACATTCTACAGCAAAGGTAATCATTCAAGTTCTTTGGGATTACCACTTCAAAGTTTCATGGGAATAGAATAAGTCATACATTCATTTAGACATACACGTTCTCTATACTCAAACCTTGTTCAAATCACTGTGTACCTTGCTTTGTTTGAATAGCTTTTGAGCCTATGCAATTCTTTGCCTTAAAAAGAGTGATCATAATTTGTCTACCTGGTTTATAGTTCTTATTTGGTAGTTTTTCTGCAAAACCTTGAATTGCATCTGGAAAGTGGAGTACAACACTTTTATTAGAGATGTAGTGTGTAGTTGGTACCAGTGAAAGATCAGTTAGATATTTTTTGAGCCAGCTAGGCTTTCTGAATAGTTTTTAAGGGCAGCACCATATAGACCACATTGCAATATACAGGTGAAACTCGAAAAATTAGAATATTGTGGAAAAGTTCGTTTATTTCAGTAATGCAACTTAAAAGGTGAAACTAATATATGAGATAGACTCATGACATGCAAAGCGAGATATGTCAAGCCTTTATTTGTTATAATTGTGATGTTTATGGCGTACAGCTGATGAAAACCCCAAATTAACAATCTCAGAAAATTAGAATATTAAATGAAATCAGCAAAACAAGGACTGCAAATAGAGCAATATTGGACCTCTGAGAAGTAGAAGCATGCACATGTACTCAGTACTTGGTTTGGGCCCCTTTTGCATCAATTACTGCCTCAATGCGGCGTGGCATGGATGCTATCAGCTTGTGGCACTGCTGAGGTGTTATGGAAGACCAGGAAGCTTCAATAGCAGCCTTCAGCTCTTCTACATTGCTCGGTCTCATGTCTCTCATCTTTCTCTTGGCAATGCCCCATAGATTCTCTATGGGGTTCAGGTCAGGTGAGTTTGCTGGCCAATCAAGCACAGTAATCCCATGGGCATTGAACCAGGTTTTGATACTTTTGGCAGTGTAGGCAGGTGACAAAGTCCTATTGGAAAATGAAATCAGCATCCCCATAAAGCTCGTCTGTGGAAGGAAGCATGAAGTGCTCCAAAATCTCCTGGTAGATGGCTACGTTGACCCTGGACTTAATGAAGCACAGTGGACCAACACCAGCTGATGACATGGCTCCCCAAATCTCTTTTCTGATGAGAGCAGCTTTTGCATCTCACTTGGAAATGAAGGACCCAGAGTCTGGAGGAAGAATGGGGAGGCACACAATGCCAGGTGCTTGAAGACCAATGTGAAGTTTCCACAGTATGTGTTGATTTGGGTTGGTGTGAATTTGTCCCGTGGGTTGCGGTGGTGAGGGTTGAATTGAACCTGTGAAGCTGTGTGTCAGGGACCGTACTGAGGAGGGCTGCACTTAGGAGGAATGGTGGGAACCACCCTCTCCTCTTGCTCCTGCTCCTGAAGCTTCCCAGGAGCAGGAGGACAGTATAAATTTGGAACGGTGGTTTGCAGAAGGACATAGTTCAGAAGGCAGAAGCTGGGAAATACTGGATGGGGAACAGCTAGGTGAAGAAACACTGGGAGAGAGAGGGTTAACAGATTCACAGTCTCTGGACCGCATTCCTCCGCTCAGCCCAAAGTCAAGAAGAGCTCAGAAAGTCTCAGAACAGAAAGCACAGAGGGTACAAGCTCAGATTACAAGACATAGGAATGACATAGATTAATAGGGACGGAAGGGGGTGTGATCCTTAATTGGGAGCACTGCCATTTCTAGGAGATGTGGTCTTTGTTCTCTCCCTGGGATTATTAAAGTTTCTAACTGGTAAGATGTTCCTTTCTTTGATCTTCTTATTTACCGCCACAGGGGGAGGAAGCAAGTCCCCGCGCCGCACCAGTTTAGTGCAGTGTGTGGGGACTTGCCAAATGGGCAGCTCAGTTCAGGGGGTGGCTTGGGGGCTGGTTAAATGACCCCTGTGGGCCGCTTGTGGCCCATGGGCCTTAGGTTGCTGACCCCTGATCTAGACGCATCAAAGAAGCGATTCAGTTAAATGGATTGTAAATGTCGTACAGGGAAATCCCGTTGGCGAAAAACAGGACTCCACAGCACCACCTGTTATCACAGTGTTATAATGCATACAAAGTGCTTTATCTTTACCAATGTAGCTGAGTCCCAAATAGCTTTTGCACCCCTCCCAGCGTGCAGCAGTGACCCACCGCCTGGGCAGCTAGAGGTCTGTCTCTACCCCACTGTTTTTGGTGCCGGATAAGCAAGAGATCATGTCTCTGATCCAACAGGGCATGAGCCAAGTAGCTGGGAACAGGGGTTCTTCGGGGGCACTATAATAATAATAATAATAATAATAATAATAATAATAATAATAATAATAATTATTTATTATTTATACCCCGCCCATCTGGCTGGGTTTCCCCAGCCACTCTGGGCGGCTTCCAACAAAACACTAAGATACAATAACCTATTAAACATTAAAAGCTTCCCTAAACAGGGCTGCCTTTAGATGTCTTCTAAAAGTTTAGTAGTTATTTTTCTCTTTGACATCTGGTGGGAGGGCGTTCCACAGGGCAGGTGCCACTACCGACAAGGCCCTCTGCCTGGTTCCTTGTAACTTGGCTTCTTGCAGTGAGGGAACCGCCAGAAGGCCCTTGGAGCTGGACCTCCGTGTCCGGGCAGAAGAGCCCCACTCAGCAGGACCCCTAGATACAGCAGGGTTGATTTACCACATTTCGAAGTAAGTGCACCACTGGCTGAAGGCAGATTTAGGGGAGCGGGACCAGTTAGGTCGCACTGGGCATGGAGCCTTGGGGGCACCTCAAAAAACACGTAGAATGGAAGGCAAGAGGCAGCAGCACCAAATGTTGGTGTTGCATCAGGCGCCGCTGAAATTGGAGGCCCCCAGGCCCACCATGGCCTGCTGCTACTGCAGGCATGATTCTAAGACTTTAAGGAGAGCCTGCTGCCTCAGGCCAATGGCCCCTCGAACCCAACACCCTGTTCTCACAGTGGCCACCCAGATGTTTGTGAGAAACCCTCAAGCACAACCCAAGCACAAGAGCCCTCTCTACTCCTGGGTCTTCCAGCAGTTGGCATTGCTGCCTGCAACCATCGAAGCACAGCTTTAGCCATCTTGATTAGTAGCTATTGATTCTTGGAGGAATTGCACAATAGGGACTGGATTTGGGTCACAGATACAGCTAACTGGCTGCATTCAAGATTTTTTGTTTTTTTTGCTTTTTATAAAGGCTGTAGGTCTGGTTTTGAGAGGCTTGCAACTATTTTCACATGGAATTCACATGGAATTCCCCATCCAGTTAGAGATATGTTCAGATTTCCCTTTTCTGCCTGCATATGGCCCCGAGCTCAATTGTTGCAAAGGTGAATTTTGTTGGCATTCAAACAAAATTCACCTTTGCAACAATTGAGCTCGGGGCCATATGCAGGCAGAAAAGGGAAATCTGAACATATCTCTAACTGGATGGGGAATTCCATGTGAATTCCATGTTGTAACTCCGCTGACCCCCAAGTCTCTACGGTAATGTACACTATCATTCCAATTTTATGTATTTCATCCATTTATATCCCTGTCTATCCCCAAGGCTCTGAGTGGGTTGCGCAAATATTTCAAAAAAAAGCAAACACTTTTTAAATTTTATTTCACATATTTGCAGGCTTTGCCGTTTCTCTTGACCAGTTGTTTGGGGGGGGGGGATCAAATCAAATCAAACAACAAAAAACAAGTCCACAGTTAGTGTATAATGATATTACAGTTTAGAAAATGGAAATTTTACTGATGAGCATAACCCATGAACCTGGTGCAGCTTTTGTTTCCATTGTTAGCTGAGCTAATTTACATGCCTGTTTGGGGTCCTGCTCCCCTCTCTTTCCTGGAGAATAAGCATGAATATTTCTTTAATAATCAGCGTGTACAGGTGTGCGAATTAGTTGGAATGGATTCCAAATTTAATTAGGCACTGCATAAAGGCAAAAGGATTTAACAATAGAAAGAGTGGCTTCATTTAATTGGGGCGCGGGGGCTGTAGTGACAGGGGTATGATTGCTGCTGATCTTTTGTTTAGGCTGCATATTTGGGTCAACATCATCTTCTCCTTCCAGCTCTTGAAGAAAGGAAGAGTACTTGTGGGGCCAAGTGATTTTAATGTTGTTTTCATAATGAACCTTGCAAAATCGTTTTAAGGAACTATCTGCCAGAACAGCACTAGCCTGCAGTAGAGATGGTTGTCTTCTTGCAGCTCACAATGTCATGTAAAATGACTATGAGAAATCAGTAGCACTTGGGTGCTTCAACAAGGATATGGGTGGCACACATTTTTTCAGGCAGGGGGAATTTCCAGAAGAAGAAGAAGAAGAAAAAGAAGAAGAAGAAGAAGAGGAGTTTGGATTTGATATCCCGCTTTATCACTACCCAAAGGAGTCTCAAAGTGGCTAACATTCTCCTTTCCCTTCCTCCCCTACAACAAACCCTCTGTGAGGTGAGTGGGGCTGAGAGACTTCAGAGAAGTGTGACTGGCCCAAGGTCACCCAGCAGCTGCATGTGGAGGAGCGGAGACATGAAGCCGGTTCACCAGATTACGAGTCTACCACTCTTAATCACTACACCACACTGGCTCTCCGGAGGACAGAGAAGTACAGTACTTAGCCTCAAGCTCTAGTAGCCAGTAATTTGTATATTGCCTTAACATCCCGTCCTCCAAGAGTTGAATGAGATGGCAAATGCATCCTCCAAAGCTGCCATCCAGTTTAGCAAGGCCCCTGGCACCTTCCCAGGTGGCCCCTCAATGGTGATAGCCTCCCCTCTCTTACCTTGGCATGGACAGCAACATAAAACATAAGCTGGTGTAGCCAGCAAGTGCTGCAAATGGCACCTGCCATTTTAATCCCACCCCACACAATGCATCTAGAGCCCAGATTGCTACTTCATTCATTTATAGGCGGGGACCATTTTGCGTGCGTCTGGTTGATGCACGACTGCTGACACACCTGGAAGAGGGCAGAATGGGGGTGGAACAGGAGGCGTAACGGGGCAAGGCGGGCTTATCTGCGCTCCTCCGACATGTGCAGGTGCCAGGAACGGTACCCCCGCACGAAATGTTCACTGCCTGTATTTATTTACTTATTCATCAAGTCCTGTACATCACTTATTCTTTGAGTAAAACAATGATTATATTCAGTGCTATTTCTCTAGAAAAAGAGGTGCCAGAACACAGCACGAATGCCACCCTTATTCTCTTATATAATGGCAATAGTGCCCACCCGAGAGGTGCCAGAACTGAGTTCTGATGAGTTCTGGCTGAAAAAGGGCCCTAGTTATATTCTACATCAGTGTCAGAGTCATGAGTGCAGCCAGGGGAGTGTGGGGCAGGCAGCTGCCCTCCATCAAGTAAATAAATAAAAATACTTAACTAAATGACCAATTGCATCACAGATAACTCAGTTCTGCCCCCCCCATAAAGCCTGAGGCCCAGAAATTAATTCCTGGCTATGCCCAAGGGCATTATGCCTCTGAACACCAGTCACTGGGTGTAATGGTTCTAGGGGTTGCTCGTGCGTAAATCGGCACCCCACCTGGCTGGGTTGCCTGAGTGAACCTTTTCTGTCCGGACAGCCACTCGCCCGTGGCTGCCTCAATCGCTGGCAGAATCCGTCAGTGGGCGTTTCTTGAACTTCTTCCAGCACAAAAGTTCTTTGACGCCTAGTCTCCGCCTAGTCTCCCTGCGCGGAAGCACAGGGAGGGTGTGGGCAGCGGAGGACCCGTGCTCTCCCCGCTGGTCCCCGGCGAAGAGTCATGGAGCCACCTCGCCGATTCCCCCATCTGCCCCCCTTCTCCACTGGTGCTACACTGATTTCCTTCCCCAGAAGATGTGCTGCTTCTCTCCCTCCCGGGACGCTCTCCGGAATCCCTCTGGAGCCCTCCCTCTCCCCCTGGCTCCGATGGCAGTTCCCTGACACTGGGTATCATAGATGGGCAGAGTGATGCTCTGCAGGTTTCCCATAAACATCTGCTTTGTCACTGTCAAAACAAAATGTTGTATTAGATGGGCCATTGGCCTGATCCAGGAGTCTCGTCTTATGTTCTTATCAGCGGTTTACATATACATTTCACATTTTTATACATACTGTCTCTCAAAACATGCAGTTTTAAAATACATTTTTCTTTTCTTGGGTGTGAGCCTTTTTAAAAACTTGAGAATTGCATCAGAAAATTCAGAACGTGTGAAAGTTAACCAAATTCCCACCCACACTTTAGCAGATCAGGAGAAGGAAGATATTAATTCACAAAGCCCGCTCCCCTTGATAAATTATGTTCCGCAAAAGTACCCTGAAACGCTGCCCTCAGGCAGATCTATCTGTTGCAAAAGGAGCTTCTATAATTTGGTTTCGCTGAGTTCCCATCTCTCATGTCCTGCATTTCCATTGTATGCAGTTTACATCTGAGTTGTTTCAAAGGCTGGTGGCTTTAGGTAGCTTGAAGATGGTATCTCACTGGCTTTGGGCCTCTAGTAGTTATGCATTGCCGAGATCAAATGACCAGGAAGGGGACAGAGGAGACGGACCTCCTGTAAACTGAGTTGCCTTCGATTGGTTAGATAAGGAAGCGTATGTATTGCAGACCACCAGGAGACTCACCATTATCCTGTCGATGTTCCGGGGCTGAGGAGACAGATGAAGATATATAGTGAATGCTGAATCGCCTTTGCCAAGAGAGAGGTGAATGAAATGCCAGAGACAGGTTGATCCCAGGACTATTGCAGGCAGCTGCTCCTTTTCACCGCTGCATTTTGCTAAAGCGGGGCTGTAGGATTTTGATTAATATTGCCAGGACCACTTTGTTTCCTTAAGCCCATGGGAGGGGAAAAAAATAAATCACTTTCTAAGATAGTCCTAAAATGCTGGGCTAACAATATTTTTAAAAGGTGGGAAGCAGGGGGAGAGAGAGGGAAAGTGGCTGCATTTCGATAGACAAGTCTTAAGGTAAAGGGTAAAGGGACCCCGACCATTAGGTCCAGTTGTGGACGACTCTGGGGTTGCAGCGCTCATCTCGCTTTATTGGCCGAGGGAGCCGGCGTACAGCTTCCGGGTCATGTGGCCAGGATGACTAAGCCGCTTCTGGCGAACCAGAGCAGCGCACGGAAACGCCGTTTACCTTCCCGCCGGAGCGGTACCTATTTATCTACTTGCACTTTGACGTGCTTTTGAACTGCTAGGTTTGCAGGAGCAGGGACCGAGCAACGGGAGATCACCCCGTCATGGGGATTCGAACCGCCAACCTTCTGATCGGCAAGTCCTAGGCTCTGTGGTTTAACCCACAGCGCCACCCGCGTCCCTCGTAGGCAAGTCTTACCTAGAGCTAAATGAACAGGTTTCTCAAAGTTTGGTCATTTGGGCATGTTATGTTTGGAAGGCTGGTTTGATATAAAGTAAGCTTTTTAATTCTCATGAATGTCAACTTCATATCCTCCAACCTTTCTCCGATGAAAATAGGGATGTTCTAATTATTATTATTATTATTATTATTATTATTATTATTATACACCACCATCTGACTGGGTTGCCCCAGCCACTTTGGGCAGCCTCCAACATACATAAAAATATAATAAAATGTTAAACCTTAAAAAGCTTCCCTATACAGGGCTGCGCTCAGATGTCTTCTAAAGGCTGCATCTTATCTCCTTGGCTTACGGGTCACATAACTCCATACCCTCCAACATTTTTCTGATGAAAGTAGGGATCTCCTAAGGGTTAGTGGTACATTCCAGGATCACATCAGAAACCAGAACGGCTTCTGTAAATCCAGGACTGTCCCTGGAAAATAGGGACGCTTGGAGGGTTTGTATATTGGGTGTGAAGAAATCAGTTCTCCTCAGTTGTACCCCAGCGACTGATTTAGACAGAGTTATACTGCATCTAACAGAATTATCGCTTTGATGAAAAGTTTTTGGCCATGACTGTTTGGAAGTGCTCTAAAACTAAAGGGAAAGCAACCAACCGTGTTTTTAATGCATGCTTTTGGAACAAGGAAGCATTTGTAAAATCTCACACTGCAGTCACACCTGCCTCATTGGATTGCTTTTTTGGAACCAGGAACCAGTGAAGATGGTACCAGTAGCATCTGTGCTAATGACAGTGGCAAATGAATCAGAGGCCTAGTTTGCTATTTTTATCCATCAGCACTGGGACCTCCCAAGGTTTTTATCTCTGTGCTGGTTGATTCTAGGATTGAGTCCAGATTTCTCAGATGTTTTCCTCAGAAAATTTCTGATGTTTTCACCTCCGTTTTGCGTTTTTTCCTCACAATATGGTCCAGCATCGTGTCTGTGCTCTGGAATGATACCAGGTCAGGATGATTCCAGGACAGTGTACAAAAGCGTACACTCATATAGATGCAATTCAGAACCCAAAAATAAGCACAATGAAATTCAAAAACACCTTTTCACCGACCCTTCCTCCAAATAGCCCAAGAAAAGCTTGCATGGTGCCTCATCAATTCCAGACAGCCCTAAGAGGAAGACTAAAGGTAAAGGTAAAGGTAAAGGGACCCCTGACCATCAGGTCCAGTCGTGACCGACTCTGGGGTTGCGGCGCTCATCTTGCTTTATTGGCCGAGGAAGCTGGCGTACAACTTCTGGGTCAAGTGTCCGCATGGCTAAGCCGCTTCTGGCGAACCAGAGCAGCGCACAATTACCTTCTTGCTGGAGTGGTACCTATTTATCGACTTGCACTTTGACGTGCTTTCAAACTGCTAGGTTGGCAGGAGCAGGGACCGAGCAACGGGAGCTCACCCAGTTGCGGGGATTCGAACCACTGACCTTCTGATCGGCAAGCCCTAGGCTCTGTGGTTTAACCCACAGCGCCACTCACTTCCCAAACGAGGAAGACTAATCTGAGCAATATTTGCTGGCCTGAAGTCACCCAGTCAGTTTCATGGCGGAGTGGGAATTTGAATCTGAGTTTCCTCAGACCTATACCAAACTATTCTAGTTATCATTCAGTATCTCCTCTTTAGAAAACATTTGTGTCCCTCCCCTTGGAATTCAAATGCTCTTCTTGCAAAATAAGCAGCTAGAGTTGTTATTTCTCTAAAAGTCCAAGATACAAATCCAGAAGAGTCCAACATCCGGCCTCTCAGCATGTAGGATCCACAGTGCAGCTGCTGGGAGTTTTTCAGACATTTCCTTAATTCCTCTTGGTTAAGCAGCTATAGTTTTACAGAGAAGGAAAAATAAAATAAATCCCAGCTGGACTTTGCAGGTAAGAAGGATTGCTATCACGCAAAAAAGGTGTCATGAATAATTATGCATCAGTTGTTTTATACTTACAAACAAAACAAATGGAATGCAGACAAGTGCAAAAGTCTATATATGTAAATATTAACAGAGAGAGAGTGTGTGCAATTAATTTTAAATACTTTCTGAAAATAAATAAAGGACATCCCCAAGCTCTAAAAGAATCCCAGCCAACCAAAATACGGCACAAAGTTGAATAGCAGCCATGACACCCATCTGTCTTAGATCTCTGCCCTCGCTGAGTTTTGAGACAAGATTGCATTGTTAAGAGACCAAGGAAAATAAATAGAAAACCTTTCCTTCACTTCAGGGAACAGTCTTAGTTTATACTTCTTCACACAGAAATGCATATTTTGAGAAACTAAACAAATGTCTATTCAACAGAACGTCCATTTGTCAATATGGTGTTTGTGCCTCACAGTCAGGAAATTTTTTATTTTGGAAGACACAGCTCCTGTTGCCAAGCACTTCTGCCTTGGGAAGAAGAAGGTCTCTTAGAAAGGGTAGGTTTGTTGTTTTGACTCAGACACCTGTATGTTGCTGTTCCAAAATGCTCTAAAAGAATGAATTGTAACTTCATGGTTTTCAAAGTAGGTACACCCAGCCACACTGGAACACTGAGCAGAAGATGGGAGAATAGAAATGTGATGGAGTAGACTGCTGTTTTTATTTTTATTTTTTTAAAAAAATATGTTAAATTTAATTTGTATACCACCCTTCATCCACAGATCTCAGGGCAATTCACAACATAAGAATGCAATATCAAAGTACAAAATACATGATAAAAACAAGAACATCATCAAAACATCATCAAAAAACCAAAAGCTACCCTGCTTTCACAAGGAATTATCCATCCTTGCATGTCTACTGAGAAGTAATCCCTTCTTAGGTTTTCTTTTTATTATGTTTTTTGTGGTTTTATATATTGATTTTATTCTGTGAACTGCCCTGAAACTTCCAGGTATAGGGTGATATATGAATTCAATAATAATAATAATAAATAATAATAATAGGTTGATGGGACTACTCTCAAAGAAGCATAGCAGTATAGCAGTGTTGGGAGGTGGAGAGGCTTACAATAGACCACTGCAGCTATTGTTCTGTTCTGGTCTACACACACACACACACACACACACACACACTTGTCTTCTTCTTCTTCTTTCATTCATCCAGCTCTTCCACACTTTCAGCTTGATTTTCATTTACCCAGATAGGGTGAATTGTTCATCCTGTTCCCAACATCGGCTACATACCTCTAAGGAGTCCACAAGCTCATTTTCAATTGTTTGTTGAAGGTTTGTTCGGAAGCCTGGCGGGGCAGGGCTCTGTCAACAGCTTTTTGGAAGTCCAAGTATAAAATACATATGGGATCTTCTGTCTACATACTTGTTTGACCCTCTCAAAGACTTCTAAGAATAATGCCGCAAGACACTTTGCCAAAGCCACGTTAATTCCTCCTTAGGAGGGCATGTTTTTCTAGGTGTTGAATTGGAGCTTTGATAATGCCTTCTGCCAGTTTTCTGCATTGGACAGTGGACTGGCAGACCAGTCAGTTTCCCATATCCACTCTGAATCCATTTTTTTTTTTAATTTCATACATTAGCTATCTTTCAGACAGTTCTCTAATAAAGAGTCTGATTTGAATAACAATTTGCACATTTTTTTGGTGAAAAGATCAGCAAACTGGCAACCCTATATTTGAACTCTTCAGTGCCTCTTGGGTGAATATTATCCAGCTCTGGCGAGTTTCCCATCTGCAACTTTATTAAAATTGAGATCCTTGATTGGCAGCTGGATGAACCCTGTTCATAGTAATTTGCCATAGTAATTTGCCTAAGTTTTGTTCCTTGTTTGAAGACTGTGCAAGATTTATCTTGTATCTGTTATATATATATATATATATATATATATATATATATATATATATATGTAAAGGGACCCCTGACCATTAGGTCCAGTCGTGACCGACTCTGGGGTTGCGGCGCTCATCTTGCTCTATAGGCCGAGGGAGCCGGCATTCAGCTTCCAGGTCATGTAGTCAGCATGACTAAGCCGCTTCTGGCGAACCAGAGCAGCGCACGGAAACACCATTTACCTTCCCGCTGGAGCGGTACCTAGGTATTTATCTACTTGCACTTTGACGTGCTTTCGAACTGCTAGGTTGGCAGGAGCAGGGACCGAGCAACGGGAGCTCACCCCGTCGCGGGGATTCGAACTGCCAACCTTCTGATCGGCAAGTCCTAGGCTCTGTGGTTTAACCCACAGCGCCACCCGCCTCCCATATATATATATATATATATATATATATATATATATACACACACATATATACATCTGAGTTTCTCTGGGCTCTCTCTGCTTCATTCTGTTACAAAAAAGTCATTTTTAAAACCAAAATAAAAACTCTTCATTATTGTGCTAAAACAAAACAAACAAATCCAGGGCTCTTAGGTACTCCATAAGCAATGGTGTGGACAGCTTTACTCCTTGTGAAGCCCATGGACCTAGAGAAACAGGAAACACGGAGCTAAAATGATAGGGAGGGACAGATCTGTGAGGTCCCTGATCTGACTGACACTGGGGAGGGCTTATATTGTTTCCTTTGGGGAGAATAAAAGCACATTGATTCACCATGGTTCTCCCTGTTCTTCACCCCACACAGAGACCCACTGCACACCCCTACTTTGCATAATTGCTGCCCTTTTGTTTTCCATTACATCTTAATGTTTTGCATATAGCCTATAGTTAAACAAAACAACGACAACCTGAATTTGTCAAAGTTCATTGTTTGTCTCAGCTCTCTGAGGTCCAAGCTGTGCAAGGGATAGATGGGACGATCATTATAATGAGAAAGTGGGGAGCTGGAAATTCAATGTTATTTTCCCCTATTGTAGTCCTGGCAAAATAATTATAATAATAATAAATGCTCCATTGAATCTGCTGCTTACCTTGAGAGGAAATTTCCAACTGGCAACAATGTGGACTTCTTTCCACTTTGGAGCAGGGAAAATGTGATTCTTATTGTTTTCACTGGGAAAATGTTGCAGGATGAAATCCCCATTATCACAGTCCTGATGCAACTCATACCCACACCCCACAACTGATTTCTTTTCTTTACAAACACCAAAATGGATGGAAGATAGAGCTCAATCGGTAGAGCATGAGACTCAATCTCAGGATTGTGTGTGTTCGAGCCCCACATTGGGCAAAAGATTTCTGCATTGCAGGGGGTTGGACTAGATGACCTCGTGGTCCCTTCCAGCTTGACCGCTCTATGATACGTTCAAGGGGACTCTCATTGTCTGGTTTGTCTTGTCTCCAACTGAACAATCAATCTATTCCCGAAAGGATTCTGGTGCTAGTTTTGAGCCGCCATAAAAACCGCCTGGAGGTGACATCTTTTTCTCCTTTTTCTTTTTAAGCAGGAGCTCTGTTTGTGAATGTTAGTGTTCGCTAAAGGCACAAGGATTGGAAGCCAGGGATACTGAAAGCAAGGAGTCATCACTATTTCTGCAGAATTGTTGTCGTGGCAGCAACCGGGAAAGCATAACTTACTCCCTGCTACCGGCACATATATCAACCTTCACTGAAAGGGCAGTGGTATCCCCAAGTCCTCCTCTTCACGATGCTGACAATGCTATTATTCCGCCTGCGCTATTATTTTGCAGTAAGGTGGGTTGCAGCGGGAACAGGAATGTAGCTTGCGAATTGAGTTGTCACAGGAGTTCTGCGGCTGTCGACGTGACAAATTGCCGGTGTGTGTTTCCCTTGCCTTCTGTCATAACTATGGGTTTCCTTTTATATTGCCACTGAAAGTCTATTTGGCCCCAACACCATGAAAGACTCTTGTACTGGACCCAGGATTCAAGTGGCCTTTGCCTAAGAGGGGCTTACAATGTACGTAGGATAGTATTCAAAGGATTCTGAAAGCAAAGCATGTCGGAGGCTGCCTTTGGGGCAGAACCATTTGGGTTGTGAGGAGAGAGGAATTAACATGTGCAAATTCTTTCCTTTGTCAGTGGAAAGCTAGCATATCATATACCCTCCAATATTTCTCTGGTGAAAATAGGGACATTCTGAATAATAATAATAATAATAATAATAGCCCACCCATCTGACTGGGTTGCCCCAACCACTCTGAACAGCTATCAACATATAAAAGCATAATTAAACATTTAAAAAAACTTCCCTATACGTCTGTCTTCAGTTATCTTCCAAAGGTTGTAGCATGGGTAAGCAAACTAAGGCCCGGGGGCCGGATCCGGCCCAATCGCCTTCTAAATCTGGCCCGTGGATGGTCCGGGAATCAGTGTGTTTTGACATGAGTAGAATGTGTCCTTTTATTTAAAATGCATCTCTGGGTTATTTGTGGGGCATAGGTATTTCGTTCATTTCTTTTTTTTTTACAAAATATAGTCCGGCCTCCCACAAAGTCTGAGGGACAGTGGACTGGCCCCCTGCTGAAAAAGTTTGCTGACCCTTGGTGTTGTAGAGCTACTTATATCCTTGGCTTGAGGGCTGCATAACTCCATACCGATCAACAATTATCTGATAAAAATAGGGACATCTTACCCTGCCAACCTAGCAGTTCAAAAGCACATCAAAGTGCAAGTAGATAAATAGGTAGTGCTCTGGCAGGAAGGTAAATGGCGTTTCCATGGACTGCTCTGGTTAGCCAGAAGCGGCTTCATCATGCTGGCCACATGACCCAGAAGATGTGCGGACAAACGCCGGCTCCCACGGCCAATAAAGCAAGATGAGCGCCGCAACCCCAGAGTCATCCGCAACTGGACCTAATGGTCAGGGGTCCCTTTACATTTACCATACCCGCCAACATTTCCCTGATAAAAATAGGGACACCCTAAGGAAAAGTGGGACATTCTGGGATCAAATCAGAAAGCGGGATGGCTTCTGTAAATCCAGAACTGTCCCTGGAAAATAGGGACATTTGGAGGGTCTGAAATCAGATCTACATTAGCTGTGAGGAACATGTGGTCCTTCAGATGTATATAGACTGCAATTCTGATCAGCCTCAGCTAGCATGAATAACGGAGTTATTAAGGGAATAACAGAGTTTAGCCCTTGCTCTACATACAGTAGTACCTCTCGTTACTTACTTAATTCATCCCAGAGGTCCGTTCTTAATCTGAAACTGTTCTTAACCTGAAGCACCACTTTAGCTAATGGGGCCTCCTGCTGCTGCCGCGCCGCCGGAGCACGATTTCTGTTCTCATCCAGAAGCAAAGTTCTTAACCTGAAGCACTATTTCTGGGTTAGCGGAGTCTGTAACCTGAAGCGTATGCAACCTGAGGTACCACTGTACTCAGTTTCCTGAATCTAATGTTGCCAACATTGTTCATTTGCTAAATACCTTCTGGGCATGTATAAATTATTCCCAGCTCTACTCTGTCCGTAGGCCTAAAGCTTTTTGTGGGCTTTGCTCTTCCATCTTTAACAAAAAAGAGTGGCAGATAAAAACTCAGCAGGTGAGGCTTTTTCTAGGTATGTGAGAGGAAAAGCTTCGACTGCCGAATTTCCTCCTGTATCACAAATACTAAAAGGAGCCTTCTCTGAATGAAGGATGGGGGGGGGCAGGGGCAGGAACAGCCCTGGTCCATAGCTTGACAGTCTAGATCTGGCAACCTTTGGCCAGTTCTCCAAGTATATAAGTAGCAGACTACAGTGGCCTCTAAAGTCAGCTTTGGGGCCGATGCCCCCTGCTGTGAGGGCACGTTAACAGTTCTCCTGAAAAGCAATTAGGAAATGTCATGGGTAAGGATCCTTGACACATAAATAGGCTCTTTCTCCTGCTGTGAAAGATATTATTGTGAAATCCAATGAACAGCCTCATTTAATGTAGCTAATTATCCCCCGCTGTTTCCACATGTGCATTTGTTTTTTTAAGAGTTTAGATAGCTAAGAGTAAACCGGGAAAATTTGGGTCCTCAAACAATATGGTTGCTTGTCCTTCACCATAGCCTGACTCACTGCTACGAGCAATGAATGTTTCTGCACATCATCAGCAGGCATTTCACTGGTCCCAATTTATTTATTTAAGAAATTTAAATCCTGCTTTTCACTATAGGTCTTAAAGCAGCTTACAAAAATACCCATACAATATACAGAATTTAAAACACAGGGTAAAACTTTGGAGAGTAGAACTTTCATGGTGCAACGTCCTCGTAAAATAAAAAACATTTAATGTGGCACCTGAAACTTAGCAGAGACAATGCCTGGCTGATTTCTATTGGGAAGGAATTCTATAGAGTTGGGCTCATGACCTGAAGGCATGACTCCTCATTGACATGAGCCCTGCTTCTGGTGCAGAAAGGCTCACTAATAACTCTCAGAAATCTCTGTTAGCGCTCCCCAGCTCTTCTCAAAGAAAGAAATGATTTTCAAACGAGTTGTGCAAAAGTAAGTCCTGTTTGGGAGGCAAGCCTAGAGATACCAGCTGAAAGGTAAGTCCCTCTTTTGAGGAGACATGTATAGAATGGCAACATAGATCAGGGGTAGGCAACCTAAGGCCCGGGGGCCAGATCCAGCCCAATCGCCTTCTCAATCTCAAACAGACCGGGAATCAGTGTGTTTTTACATGAGTAGAATGTGTCCCTTTATTTAAAATGCATCTCTGGGTTATTTGTGGGGCATAGGAATTTGTTCATTTCCCCCCCCAAAATATAGTCTGGCCCACCACATGGTCTGAGGGATAGTGGACTGGCCCATGGCTGAAAAAGGTTGCATAGATGAATTGAATTCTTATTGAGATCTAGCACGAAGTCAGTCATGACTTTAACACCATGGATTCCAATGGGATTTAAATTTAACGAATGTAGGCTGGATCTGACAAACTGTATTCAGTTATGTTTATTCACTACTATCTTTTCTGAGGATTGCAGGCTGTGTCCGTGTTGTGATGAGCACATATGCAGTAGGTTTCTGGTTCTTGTGGTGTCCCCCTTACCCTGGGCTATAAAAGTTAAGTCCAAAACCGATATGTTGAACTGAAATCGGCAGCTTGGGCAGATGGTTTAGTCTTGGGCTCAAGAGTTCTGAATAATCAGCTGTCAAGGAACTGTCAATGAGCCAGATCATCCACAAAGCAGGAACACACACGGAAGGCACGGAAGGCAATTAGGTTTTTATTAGCAGAAAAACAACAAGGCAGCAATGTCCATGGTTCATCTTAACTCAATGAAGGTGTTGCTGAAACTAAGCTCCAGGTCTGCCCCTCCCCTCTAGCCTCTGGATCCCTCCCAAGTAGACAAAGGCTACATCAAGGGGTGGACCTATCTGACGAATTGCTCAGCAAGATGTAGGACCCTCCTGGAGTGGGGGGGTCAGAGGGGGAAGAGAGTCAGTAGGATTGGGACTGTAAAGAAGGCTGATCGCCGAAGAATTGATGCTTTTGAATTATGGTGCTGGAGGAGACTCTTGAGAGTCCCATGGATTGCAAGAAGATCAAACCTATCCATTCTTAAGGAAATCAGCCCTGAGTGCTCAGTGGAAGGACAGATCCTAAAGCTGAGGCTCCAAGACTTTGGCCACATAATAATAATAATAATAATAATAATAATAATAATAAATGAGAAGAGAAGACTCCCTGGAAAAGACCCTGATGTTAGGAAAGATGGAGGGCACAAGGAGAAGGGGATAACAGAGGATGAGATGGTTGGGCAGTGTTCTTGAAGTGACCAACATGAGTTTGACCAAACTGCGGGAGGCAGTGGAAGACAGGAGTGCCTGGCGTGCTCTGGTCCATGGAGTCACGAAGAGTCGGTCACGACTAAACGACTAAACAACAACAGCATTCACACTGTGACTCGCAGCTTCTAATCCTGTCCTGGAAGGTCTGACTCCCGCCCCCCTTGATCAAGTCAAATAACCTTTATTGGCATCACATAGGAACATTCAGAATACATTCAGAATAAATAGGCCAGTGAGATCCCGTCGCCATTTCAACAGTACAGTCATATGCCAAAGGGAAGAAGAGGCGAGCAATCTGTTTCATCTCTGTGGGTTTCCAGTAAGGACAGGATCCTGTAGCGTACCTTGGCGACAAAAAATCAAATAGAGAAACTTAGCTACTGTCTCGGTGAGCTCCTGGTCTCTCCCCTGTAATAAGAAGCATATAACTTCTGTCTCTGGTTTCCATGTTGGAATACATAAATGGTCTAGAAACTGTTGGCGGAGATCATCATACATTTTACA